AATACAATAAAAATAACCTAGTCAGCCACAAGTATGATTCTGCTAGTCAAGGGATAAGCTTTCTTAAGTATTTTCTATCACTATAAAGCAGCTTTTCTTTTATCTCCATGATAGAATGCTTGAAAATTGTATCCGATCAGTCTGAAGCACAGGATGTACCAAAGGTTTTATTTTGTAAGAAGTTTTAATGCTAACTCTGACCCTTAATAATAATAATTATGATAATTTATAATACATTATGTAATGTGTTCATATAACACTTTATATTAGTACAGTATATACTATCTTCACTGAGATCACCTATAAATGGGTGAAAAAAGTTCCTTATTTTTACCTCCTCTTCCAGGAACCATACAAACAAATAAAAGACACAGTTATTTTATTCACAAATATTTTTAAAAAACTTTGGAATATCAAATTGTACAGTATGACCTATAGGAACAGTGTGCATATGCAAATCCTTTCATCTAAAGCAGGGCCTATAATGGGCTGGTTGGGGGGAGGATGCAATTGCCCAAGGGCCCAGGTGGCTTAAAAGGACTGGAAGCTCCCAGCTGCATTTAAATCATGGCAGTTTTAATTGCGGCAGCAGCTGGACTCCTGGACTGCTTTTAAATCAAGGTAATGGTGGCAGTACATGCACTATCCAGCTGCCACCCATGGTCCTAATCTATCCCTGGCATTTCTGTAGGTCTGATCTGAAGTTTTATATACACCTTGCAGACAGCCTGACAAAATCCCAGTAAAGTCACAAGTAGTTGTGCTATTTGGTTTTGTGGATAAGAAATCTGAAGTACAAAGACTGTGGTTTTCAAGAGCATTCAGAATTGCCCTAATTCTGCTCTCAGCAAAGTCACTTTTAAGAATCCTAGGCTGAGTATTTTGGCCAATAAATTATACCAGTCTGTTTAAAGCCAGGGATAGAACACAGTTTCCCTAAAGCCCAGTCAACGATCACCTTTCTTCTATTGGTATAAGACACCCATCGGGGGAAAACATATAAAAGATCTGCATGACCTTTCCCAGAGGAAATTTCCCCTACTCAGTGCATTGAAAATGAAGTTCTGGCAGGGATAACAATATGATAGCAAAAGGTTTAGTGACTTACAGCATACAGGGCAAGTCTACATTGCAGCCCTACATTGGCACTGATGCAGTTGTGTGCTGCTGTAGCATGTCTGCTGAAGAGGCTCTCTTCTGAAGGGACGGTGCTCTCCCATTGGCATAATGCATGCACCTCATTGAGAAGCGTAAGCGTAAGCTTCATTGGCAGGAGAGCATCGGTAACTGACAGCACAAACTTGTGTCACTCAAGAGGTAGAAGGGGGTCTTTCTCACACCCTGAGCATCCTAACTTGGATGGACTTAAGTGTAGTGTAGATCTGCCCACAGAGAGGCTCCCTGAATTTAAAGAACCCCCTGGTCATTTTCAGCATTCTACTTCAATCAGCAAGAAATCCAGACATCAACAATAATAAGGCATTTTATAATAGCAGTAATAATAATACTTTAAAAAATAATCTGGTAATTTGACACTTAATTCCTCCAGCCATCTTTATCCTCATACTGAAATAAAAAACAAGACGTGGCAAGGAATGTTTTCCCTAACCAGAGTCCATTATGTTGAACCAAAGGAACAAAACAATGTATCCAGTTGTATTGGCAATTAAAATTATCTTGGTAAAATACTTGAAAGCAACTTCTGACTTTGAAGGTCAGATGGTTACTAGAATTTGAGAGGGAGGAGGGAAGACTGCAAAAGATTTTGTAGAAAATATCAGTACCTTTAAAAAAATATTTGTGATTCTCTAATGGCATTTGAAACTACTTTTTAATTGATACATTTTCCCCTGAGAATATAGTATGACCTATCACAACAGTTTCAAAGGTATATATACTGTCTCTGTAAATATACCTATCCATAATCTCTAATGAGTTAAACATCCATATTCCTTCAACATAAGCATGCAAATGTTGGTAACCAGATTGGTTAGTTCTTCTTTCTAGTTGCTGGAGTAAGGATTATATAGGAATTTGTATAAAGAGATCAAAAGAGAAGTGTGATCTTCTCTTCAGTAATGAGAATGGGGAAAAAGCTAGTTATAAAAACTTTCATGCTGAAGGAAAGCTCTGTGGATGATTTACACCTTTACATACATATGTGTATACCATAAAGACCACATTGGTAGTTTATATTTGGATTTAAACCAGTTATCAGAGACACTCAGCAAAGGAGTTTTCGTCAGCTGTATATTTATAAAGCGATATGAATCCACCCACCACCTACGGAGTCAAACCACTTTCAATAAAATAGGTTGGAATATAATGTCTCCAAAGGATAATTCCTTCATATGCTTTCATCATCATATATATAGTAGCCCAGTGTCTGTGAGTCTGTAATGCTGAAATGCTGGCTGTTCCCTCCGGGCGGCCCATGCTGCATGGGGAGTGCAGGGCCCAAATGTCTACTTGTGCCACTTGCTCCCACGCGGCGGCCCGGCTGAGTGGTGCAGAAGTCAGCCTAACGCCACGGCAGGAGAGGAAGGGGGTCGGGGTGGTGACGTACACGGCCAGGGGGTCCGTGGGCCCCCTAGTGAGAAGGAGGAGGGGGAGGAGAAGAGAAAGAGACAGAGAGAGGCAGGAGGCAGAGGAGAGCTGAGAGAGAAAGAGGGGGAGGCAGTAGGAGGAGGAGAGAGAGAGAGAGCGAGAGACGGGAGGCTCAGGAGAGAAGACCAACATGGAGGAGAGACCTGAAAATCCCATCTTATGATGGGCTAATTGGCTAGTAGTGTAAGAATGGGTATAGCTCTTCCTTTTCTTCCTAGTTACATAAGGAAAGAATTCACATATATGGGGCCTGCACATGCACACGCATATATGCACATGCACACACACACACAAGGAAATGTACTCCATTTTGGTTGATATATAATTTTGGTGAATTTATCTTTGCTCTCTGCTATGTAGTGTAGTTACCAAATATATAGTGCTCTTCATTGAAGTTAAAACCACAACACTCAGTAATAAATATAATTTTGCAGTTGAGCATGTCTTGTAAGGACCTATTTAAACTCAGCTAAAGGAGGAACTACCCCTACTCCAAGAGCAATAAATGACTCGGTTTCAAATAACTTGCTCAGCTCCAATAAGCCTACACAACTTGCTTTCCACTGGCTCCATATTTAGCCTCCTTGACACATTAATGTTTCCTCTTCCTTCAGACAGTCTCTTACTGACCCCACTCTGACCCTGACCATCTCCAAACATTATTTCTCTAACTTTTCATTGTCCCTAGACTACTGCCAGCCGTGTTACCTGTAACCCCACAACTTTAGACTGGTCTTCCCTAATTCCCATCCTCCCCACCCAACATTTCATCCCTGAGCTCCACGACCTGATTTGCTGTCCCCAGTGCCTTGCTAGTCAGCCTCTTCAACTCCTGCAAGACTCTGCATCATGCATTGGTTCCCTAACTGAACCTGTGACCCTCCAAACTTATCATCACTCTCCCTTTGTAACCCTCACAATCACACCTGTTGCTCTGCAGGGTCTCATATGAGCCCCTGGACACATTGCTATTCAGGCTATGTGCCCTCTGCATGACTCTAGACTACCATCAGCCTAGCACTTTAAAATAGGTCACAACTTTACTTATTGGGGGCAAGCCACCCCTCCACAACTGGCTCCAGCCTATTTCTGTGACCTCTCACCTCACTACTCCTTTTGCATGACAATTGTAGACACTTTCTTCTGGAAGAGTTTTTGCAGAAGAACTCTTCCGCAAAAGAGTTTTTGCATGAGAACGCACCAGTGTAGACGTAGCCTTGGACTTTGGGGTGTGTAGGAATGGCAGCTTATGCTGGCAGGACATGGTTTATAAGTTTTCATCGCAGAGCTACTTGCTCACCTATCTGCCAAGTGGAAGCTTTCACAAATGGGAGAGCTTTATTCCCCTGGGGTATGTCAAGACTGCATCCCTCTGTCGGCAGAGGGATACAGATTAGGCAGGTTGACATTTACAATGCCTGTGGCTACATCTACACTGGCAGCTTCTTGCAGAAGAACAGCTGGTCTTCCGCAGAAACTTGCCAGCTGTCTACACTGCACGAGCGTTCTTCCAGAAGTAAATTTACAGTATAGCGTTGTAAAACAGGGCTTCTTCAAGAACAGTTATTCCTCTCCCCACAATGAATAAGCCCTCTTGCACAAGAGCTCTTCCAGAAGAGGGCAGTGTAGACAGGCAACATGAATTTCTTGCGCAAGAAGCCCATATGGTTAAAATGGCCATCAGAGCTTTCTTGTGGAAGAGAGCGTCTACACTGCCATGGATGCTCTTGCGCAAAAGCACACCTCTTGTGCAAAAGCACATGCCAGTGTAGATGCTCTCTTGTGGAAGAGTTTTTGCACAAGAATCATTTATACGTGGTCCACATTTCTAACGTTTTTCTTTAATGGCTATGGACTTCGGGGGTTTTTTTGGAGGGAGGGGGAGTTGCTTTAAAGAGTGTTTGTGCACTTTTCTTGATGTGTTTTCCCACTGTATCTTCATACCAGAAATAGCATGAGAACTGCTATCCTTCTGGTACTTCAAAATGTTCCACACCACTTATAGAAGCAGCTTTGATGTGGTGTTTATTTGAAGCATGTTATGGGAAATGTGTTGGCTTGCCAGCCCAATGCTTTAGTTAAAGGAAAAACAGCAGCAAAAGGTACAATATCCCCCTGAATTGAATTTATGTAATATTAAAAAGGAACCTGATTGGTTCAGATTATTACTGAGAATGGATATATGCTGGGCCCTGAAAACGTGCAGCTGTGTTGACATGGCAGTGTCAACAGACTTTAGCTTGGTTGAAAGCATCAAAAGGGATTTGCAGGTTATAACATCAGCTCTAGATCTGCATTCAGATTAGGTCTTGCCCCATAGACTGGGACATTTAGATTGCACATACTTATTTAAGCCTATTTCAATTAAAAAAGGAAGTTACAGCCAAAATAAATCAGAATTATTTATTTATACAGCTTTATTTTCAATGCACAGTAACTTTATAACTTCAGTTCAGTTGCACCATGTAGGCTAAATTACAATAAAGGTATTGTGTACTGTATAAAATACAATGCATTTTAAAATGGCAGTATAAAGAAAGTTTTAAGTGTGTCATATTATTTTCACTGGCTTTTTCATTTCACATCAATAACATGTAAACATTAAATTCTCTATTACTCAGCAAAAGATCTCAGAGAAATCTTAACCTATGTTTTCACTGTTACATGTATGTTCCAAAATTGGCTCAAACCCATGTAGATACTTCCCTCCTAATTATGTCAGAATCAAAAGGCACAGGCAAAATTACATGTCTTTGTGCAGCATTACCCATAACAGTACCTTTTTATATATTTGTTATTTCTTTATTAATATCTCTGAACATAATAGAACAGCTGATGAAAATATGCCTCTGGAGATGCTTTCAAACTGCCTGTTGTCCATAGACAGTTAATTGCTTGTTGTCCATTTGAGTTGAGTGAATTTTTCCATGCTGAATATTTTGTCAGTAAATTGAATTTGTAATACCTGAAAGTAGAGAAGAGGCCAAAGAAAGAAAACGGCCATGAGTATCACATAAGAAATCACAGTGGAGGAGAACCCAACATTCTTAGAAATCTGGGACTAGAGATCCACAAAGGAATTTAAATGATCAAACCTCCACGCTAGGCACTAAAATCTAAAGTTTAGATCTTCAGACAAATACAGAGTCCCAGCAGAAGGGGTTTTTTGAAAGCCCCGTGCAATTAGATTTCCACTGATAAACTCTCCTCAGTGTCTTCATTTCAATGAGTAAAGTACGTCAAATATTTAAAAATCTATCAGCTAGAATATTCACAGATGTCTCATCTATGTCCCAACAGGATTCTTAAACATTTTCCTGCCTAGCTCACTTGTACCTGGGTCTCCCAAGTCTCACCCAAGTGCCTAAGTCATTCTCACACTTTCTCTGGCCCAGCGATTCTTTATTATACAAAGTGGAATGATATCAACAGGCAAGACTGATCCATGGGGTATTCTGGGGTGAGTTTCTTCCAATGTCTGAGGCACTCAACATGCAGGGGAGGAGGAAATTGACCCTGAGTCTCCCTCATCATAGGTGAGTGCCTAACCACTGGCTAAAAGTAGAGGGGATGGGGAACACCACTACTTCGTCCTGCATTTTGCTGAGGGGAACACCACTACTTCGTCCTGCATTTTGATGAGAAATAACTTAGGGTACATCTACACAGCAGTGTTATTTTGGAATAACTGACATTATTTCGAAATAACATAGCGTGCATCTGTACTACAAGCCGTTATTTTGAAATAATGTCGAGCTGGAGGACTTCTTACTCTAACTCGTGGTAACCCTCATTTCCTCCTCCAACTTCCTGATGTGTAGCCAGCATCAAAAGCAGAATTAAGTTATTTCCATTCAAGCTAGGCAATTTCTGTAGCTTCCATAGCTTAATTCGACTTTAGCCCTGCTGTGTATATGTGCTCTTAGGTAGCTACTTCTTTGATAGTGTTTGGAGCTGAGAATCCTAAGCAGAAGGCAATACCTCCCTCCAACCTGGACTTAAGCACCTAACTCCCTTTTTGGGAAGAGCTAGCTTTCTCCTCAGCATTTCCTATGGGTTAGCTTAGTGGCTCTGTACTCAGTTTACTGGCTTTTTTAGAGACCATTCTTCAGGACCTAACTCTTTCCATGCATTGCATAAGAAGTATAGGTACCTAACTTGAGGCTATAAATTCCACTAGACTGCAGGGTGCCTAAGGCCTTGTCTACACTAGCCCCAGAAGGTCAGCTTAAGGTACACAACTCCATCTACTAAATAATGTAGCTGGAGCCGGCATACCTTAAGCCGAACTTGGTATTGCCTTGACAGTGGGAGATCTTCGCACCCCAAGGAGTACTGGTGCTGACCAGCGGTACTCAGTGTTTGATTTAGCAGGCTTTTACTAGACTTGCTAAATTGAACACCAGAAGATTGATCTCCAGAGCATAAGTATAGATGTGGCCTAAATGTCAAGCATTGAGTTCAAATTCCCTTTGTGATACTAGTCTTTAGTCCAATGCAATATGTTTTCAATCAGTCTCCATAGAAGTTATGTCCTTTGAAGTTCATTGCAGGACCTTGGCCTAAAAGACATATGGATACGGAGTGCTATATGTTGTATAAATTAATTATGCTGGAAAAGCCTAGGAAAGGATTGAGACTACAATTTAATAGCATTGTTTTAAGTCTACCTACTTCAAAATTACACATTACTAATAATTTAAACATATTTCCCATTCAAATATCAGCACTAATTATAAGGTGGATAAGGTAATATATTTTATTGGAGCAGCCTCTATTGGTGAAAGAGACAAGCTTTCAAATTATACAGAACTCTTCTCTTGGTCTGCAGAAGAGGTCTTTGTTGCTTGAAACCTTGTCTTTTTCACTCAAGGAAGCTGTTCCAATAAAAGATCTTATCTCATCCATCTTCTCTCTCTAGTATTATGGGACCAATACAACCACAACATTGCAAACAGTGTGATTTATGGCTCAATGTTCAATTTTAGCTAGAAAACTCAGTATGCAATAGCAGTTTCACTGACTTTTCATTTTAAGTGATAAGCAATTTGGAAGATCAGAGTTAGGTTCAGAAGTTGTATCTCTTTCTCCTTAAAGTATTTTAATTTTAAAAAATGACTGCATCATTGTATTCCAGGCTCCTGTACTAGTGCCTGTATTTAATAACACAGTGAGCAAAAACATACATTTGAAAAAGTTTGTCCTACCTGTGTGGAATTCAGTTGTGTCTTATAAGTTATGCACGAGTGAAAGCAGAAATGGGACAAGGAAAGGATAGTCATCCAAGTTCAAAGGTAGGTAGATGATCAAAGATTAAATACAATAAAAGAAATAATTCTATTCAAGTTGAAGATAGGACACTGTAACCTAAATAAATGTTTAGCTTTAATTAAAACTCTTGGAAACTGCCTATGCACTGTGGGTAAATTCTCAAAGTCATGAGAACTTTATTTATTGCTTGAAATATTATATGGGAAGAAAGCGAGAGAGATTAGGTTATCCCTAAAGGATAGGATATCTCAATTTTCATTTGAAAATGTCTCTAGTTATAAAAAAGGTAGAGAGCGGGAAAGATTAGATCCATTTTAAATTACAGTGTAAAGAGTTGGCATGAAAATATTTCGTTTTCTAAAGGTAGTTCAAGAGATGGAAGAGGTATAACCCTTAAAAGCATTTTCTCATGACTGATAGCAGCACAGAATGAACAGAAGGCGGCAAAGGCTGTCAGTGAAAATGAGAAAAGAAGGCGCTGAAAGAGAGCTTAGCTCAGTTGTGAGCGGTATTAAAGGAATCAAATGAAAACCTGTAGAGGAAGCAGGTGCAGCTTGGTATAAATAAACAACAAAACATGCTCCCTAACAGCACTGCATGGAAAACGGCTTTGTGAATACTACACATAAACAAATTAATCTAAGGATAATGAATCCACAATGCATGGAATTATACTTTCTTTTGGTTAATCTGTAAAACGACGAATAGAATTTTAAAAGAAAAAAACAAAATAACTTTGATTCATTTAGTCCCAACTTAAGGAAAACACATAAATGTATTAATTTTTTAAAGAATATATTTATTTTTAAGTGCTTTCCTGAATCAGGGCCTTAAATGGAGGATGTCATTTGAACATAAATACATCCAAATAGGAGGTAGCTATAAATCCTAAACATGTGTTTTAATATTTGAGTCCTGTAGGCGCAGGACTAGATAGGAGCAGAAAAAAGGGAGACAAACTGGGGAGAGAGGTGGGGATTCAGAGAAACAGGAAACGGTGGGGAGTGAGTAGATGGAGGAAAGAGAAACACAGTTCAGTGTTGCGGTGAAGCACACACCCCTACAGAATCCAGAATCAAACTCAGGATTCTCGAGTCCCTACATTTCTATGCTATCAGCAAACAGCCCAGACATCCACTGGCAAAGCATATGCATCATCCACAGTGACTGCTTGACAAAAGAAGACAAGAGCCTATTATTGCTGCAATTACTCTCTGGGAAAGAGAAACACAGTTCAGTGTTGCGGTGAAGCACACACCCCTACAGAATCCAGAATCAAACTCAGGATTCTCGAGTCCCTACATTTCTATGCTATCAGCAAACAGCCCAGACATCCACTGGCAAAGCATATGCATCATCCACAGTGACTGCTTGACAAAAGAAGACAAGAGCCTATTATTGCTGCAATTACTCTCTGGGGGTACGTCTACACTACAGCGCTAGTTCGAACTAACTTAGTTCGAATTAGTTAATTCGAACTAAGCTAGTTCGAACTAACGCATCTAGAACTAAAAACTAGTTCGAACTAGCGTTTTGCTAGTTCGAACTAGTAAGTCCACATTGAGTGGACTCTGAACAGGGCTTAATGATGGCCGGAAGCAGTGCCGGCAGGGCATAAAAGGAGGACTTAGAGCATGGAGATGCTGTCTCAGGCTAGCCGAGGGCTGCGCTTAAAGGGTCCCGACCCCCACCCCGGACACACAGTTCTAAGGGGTGCCCCGCTTGCAAAGAAGTTCTGGCTTGGAGTGCCCTGAGTGCCCACACTGGGCACATCACACCACTCGGCCATCAGCCCGGCTGCACTTGCCGCAGGCTGCCATCTGGGGAGAGGGAGTAATTGGGGGGCTGCAGGAGAGCTTCCACCCCCAGAAGCCCGCAGAGCCAGCCCAGTCCTCCCCATCGGGGGCTCGTACCCCATTCCTCCCTCACCTCCTTCCACTTACCCTTCCCTAGCCCCCCTTCTTATTGATGTACAAAATAAAGATAACGTTTCTTCCAACATTGACTCTGTCTTTATTGAAAAAAACTGGGGGAGACTGGGAAAAGGAGGTGGGAGAGGGGAAGAGAAAGGCTGGGAGAGGGGAGGGCAACTAACATGATCAGGGGTTGGGAACAGGTCCCAGATGAAGAAGCTGGGTGCTGGCAGGCTTGCACCTGGCACGGGCACCGTAGCCAGCCCGTGCCCCTTTAAGGGGTCCGGGGCCGGGAGGGGGGCATAGAGTTTCCCTGGTGTTGGCCAGAGTGGCCACCAGGGAAACCTGGGAAGGCTTAGCCTCCCCCTAGTTCGAACTAAAGGGCTACACAGCCCTTAGTTCGAACTAGCTAGTTCGAACTAGGCGTTAGTCCTCGTAAAATGAGGTTTACCTAGTTCGAACTAAGCGCTCCGCTAGTTCGATTCAAATTCGAACTAGCGAAGCGCTAGTGTAGCGCATAGGAAAGTTAGTTCGAACTAACGTCCGTTAGTTCGAACTAACTTTCTAGTGTAGACATACCCTGAGTTCAAGTAATCTGTTGATCAAAAGGTCCAAGCACTGCTGATGATCAAATTGTGGGTATGTTTACACAGAAATGTTATTTCGGCATAACATCAGTTATGCCGAAATAACATAGTCCGTGTCTACACCATAAACAGTTATTTTGATATAATATCAAAATAATGTCGAGCTGGAGGACTTCTTATTCCAACTCCTGTAACCTTCATTTTATGAGAAGTAAGGGAAGTCAGAGGAAGAGTGTTTTTCCTTGGACCTCCGGTGGCGTAGACAGCGCCAAAAGCATGAATCAGCTATTTCAATTTAAGCTACACAATTGATGTAGCTCAAGTTGTGTAGCTTATTTCAGCTTTAGCCCTGCTGTGTAGACATGCCCAGTGAGTCACATGCTTCCAAATCATGGATTTTCTGGTTTTCCAAATTGGTTATTTGGATATAATATACTAATTTCAAGCAAACAACTATGTTAACCTTCTCTTTATAGAATTTTACCCTCAAACCTTAAGGTTGCAAAGTCCATCCCATCTGTACACATGCTTTATGATGGTCTAAATTATGATCACACATTTTTCCCCACTGGACTCAGTCTCATTCAGTGTACAGGATACACAGTGCTATTGGAATTAATCAGGGATATATAGTGAATGAGACTGCTGTCTGTTAGATCTCTGCATCATTGCAGAAGTTTGAAGGTGTTTAGGCAGGAGACTGCAGGAAGGCAAAGGGCGGTTCTACGGGTAAAGCTGGTGAATGTCATTCTGGAAAAGTGGATTCCATCCCTGTGTCTGGTGCTGAATTTAGGTGCTGGCCATCACCTAATCATTTTCAGTGAGCCACTAAGAGTGTATTCCTCCATTTTGGGGTGGCCAGTATGAGGCACTGGAGCCAGATTCGGAGAAGTGGTGGGCATTCAGAATTGCAACACCTCCAGCGTAGCTGTACTGCCCGCAACTCCCCCTCTCCCCACCCACCTGGCTCACTGGCAGCTGCAGTTGGTTGCATTGTTGTATTCAAGCAGTGTGCATACTCCCATTTAGGAGATGCATCTGCTTGGAAGGGATGGGGGTACAGCAGTGGGCAATATAGCCATGCCAGAGGAGCCGTTGGTGCAGAACACTAGCTCCTATGAGCTGCAGCTCCATACTTTGTTCCTTCACTACTACAGTTCATGGGAAAGGCCTGCTGTTCCGCAGAGACCAACTGATATCTGCAGCTATCTGCAGCCATGGATATACATTTGTATCTGTGTAGGGCTGTATATAACCCACAAAATGTCTATGATACTGGGCACTGAGATACCATGGTGAGAGTACCACAGAAATGCCATGTTATTTTGAAATAAGCTTATTCCTCTTCACAAGCAGGAGTTATTATTTCAAAATAACAAGCCCATTATTTTGAAATAACAGGGTTGGTAGTGTGGACACTCGCCTTGTTATTTTGAAATAACAAGATATGCCCTAAGTGATTGTGTAATTAAAGACTGTATTGTAATGCAAATGAACAAGGTAGCTGAATTAAGATTGTGGAAGCAGCCTTGATTCTGGCATTTCTGTTAACATTCCTTTAATGTAGTTTTTTTGAGATGTAATGTATTATTTAAGTCATGATGCTATGCTTAGGAGTACGCAAAATACAAACAGACAGTGTCTGCCTGGAAGAGCTTATCTGCACTGCCTAAGCATAACAGGGAGGTTTATCAATGCAGTTTCAATCTAAAATGAATATGTTTATGGCTTGGGTTTATATCCAGCACTTTACAATATTGGAACTTACATTAAGATTCCTAAATTAAAAATAGGCATAAAAGCATATAAAGGTTGAACCTCTCTAGTCCAGCACCCTCAGGATCTGACCAGTGCTGAACCAGAGAATTTGCTGAACCACTGTCTAGCAGCATTACCAACATTTCCTTTGTATACAGGGCTCTTAGAAGACATTTGGGGTGCATCCACATTGCAGGGCTTAACTCGAAATAATCTGTGCTAATTGAGGGCACATCTAGACGTTTTAATTTTGAATGAGGATATGCAAATTCCCAAGGAATTTGCATATCTTCTTCTGATTGCTTTTTTGAAAGCGGGTCTTTTGAAAATGAAAGTAGTCTGGATACATTTTTTTTGGAAAAAAACACCTTTTTCGAAAAATTGCGTAAACCTCCTTTTTTTTAGGAAGAGCAGTTTTTCGAAAAAGGATTTTCTTCCCCTTTCCTCTTTTGAAATTAAAGCATAATCTAGATGTGCCTTGAGTTACTTCAATTGCGTATCTTATTTCGAAATAGCTTATTTCAAAATAGGGAGCATCTACACAGCACTTACTTTGAAATAGAGCGGTCTTCCTCCCACTTCCCTTAGTCCTCGTACAATGAGGGTTACAGGAGTCAGAGTAAGAAGTTCTCCAACTTGCCAGTATTTTGACACCATTTAGAAATAACTGCCTGCTGTGTAGATGCAGACTAATTTATTTCAGAATAGCACTAGTTATTTCAAAATAATGTTGCAGTGTAGATGTACCCTTAGGTTAAATAAGAGCTAAATAACAGTACAGAACACTGAAAACCAGGACTGGTAGCTGTGAACAACCTTTATGGGACCTTGGGAAATTTGGCCAAACCCATAATAAGTGAACATCTGGCTAACTAAAATCATGCCAGATCATGGATGTTGACAGAGAAGAGAATGCCGGTCTAGAGAGGTTCAGCCTGTACTAAAAAGAAAGGGTTTATTAATAAACTTTAGAATTTTTATTTTAACCAAAATATTTGTTCACCTACCTGATTTCCTTGGTCAGTGCTGAAGTTAGTAATCATGTGAGTTTGTCCATCATAAATGACAGTAACATTTGTAACCTGTTGGCTTCCTATTCCCCAGATGTTCATATAGCCAAATTTCAATGGATTGGTGTTAGTTAGGAAGTTGTTGTGTGCCACAGTGATATTAACAGTATTCTGAAAAAATGGACAAACATTCAAAAGAAAAATCAAATGTAGCAATATCAGAACAGTTATACATAGAGGCTGTGTCTAGACTGCATACCTTTTCCGTAAAAGGGATGCAAATTAGACACATCGCAATTGCAAATGAAGCGGGGATTTAAATCCCTCCCGCTTCATTTGCATAAACGTGGCTGCCGCTTTTTTCCGGCTCGGAGCTTTGCCGGAAAAAAGCGCCAGTCTAGATAGGGATCTTTTGGAAAAGGCTTTATTTTCCGAAAGATCCTCGTCTAGACTGGAGCTTTTTTCCGGCAAAGCTACGGGGGGAAAGCTAAGGGGGGATTTAAATCCCCGCTTCATTTGAAATTGTGATGTGTCTAATTTGCATCCCTTTTACGGAAAAGGGATGCAGTCTAGACACAGCCAGATAGTATCTTCCAAAGAGAGTAATATACAGCAATTTAATCCAAGCATCCAGGGAGCATGGGCCAAATTCACACCTAGAGCAATTTCATTGCCAAACAGAAGAGGATCTACTGATTTCATTTCTGATTTGGCCCTCTGTAGCACAACCCTTATTTAAGATGCAGAAACCAGAGTTGACAGATAAATTCACAATCCCATAATTAATTCTAATGTTTATTTATCCTTATTTACTTGGCTAATAGCAGATTTTAAAAAGAAATGGAGTATTTCAGCCATCAGAGTTATCTCCATTCTATTCGCTTCTCATTCTTCTTTCCTTCCATCTGGACACATTTTCACTAGGTGCTTTAATAAAGTGACGGCAGCCTTCCAGTATTTCTTTACAAAATGTGCTTATAGCATGTAAAATATTTTGTGTGGCCAGGCAATAATATGAACTTATAGAAAAGGCAGCCTTTTGAGTACATTGTTCCTGGCATACAACAAAAAAAATTGTTTCTGCTGTAGTTTGCAAAAACTTCACATTCACCCTATTACTCTGATTTTTCATTTTTCCAAGCAAGTTTAAGACAGGCATGGTATTATCCTTGGCCATTCTCTTTGTCCTTTTCCCAACTCTAATGGCTTCATTCTTAAATAAAGGAGCTACTGTGCAAGTTCTTCATTGGGATCACGCACAGTCCCATAAAGCTACTCCAGCAGACACCTGATGGGAGGACTAGAGATCATGTATCCTACTACACATGAACATAAAATATTTGTTTCCTAGAAGGACAGTTCCTCCCAAGACTGAGCTATTCTTTCTGAATGTTCCAATACAAACTTCCCAGTAGGGGTGTCAATGTGTAGTCAGCTACATGATTAATCCCAATAGGCCTGACTTATCCTGTCGATTACATGCACTCCCACAACCCCTTGTTGCCTCTATATCAGAGGCAGCAAGAGGCGGGGTTGTAAGGGAACCAGTGCCCATGAGAAACTTGCTTAAAAGCCAGCTCCCCATGAATACCAGATCTGCCTGAGGGGGGCAGGAGAGAGCTGAGATGTGTGGGGAACCAGTTTTCAAGCCAGCTGCCCACCTATATCAGCTCCTGTGTACCTGCCTGCCCCCGCCCCTGCTGCCTCCTACAGAGGTTGGGGGGGGAGGGGGTGGCCAGCAGGAGACAGTGCTGTGGGGAGCCAGCTTAAAAGCTGATTCCCCACAGCACCAGCTCTGAGGTGCTGCCTTTCCCATCCCCCAGCACTGCTGCTTCTGTTAGAGACAGCGGCATGGTGGGGAGGGAAGCTGCTGCAAAGCAGCTTCTGTCCACAGTGGGCCCTGTCTAAGCTCCCACCATGGCTTCCCTTGCAAACTGGCTCCACCTACCAGGGACTGCCTCCGGGGACTATTGAATAGTCGTGTAACCAATAAGATTTCATGTGGTTACACAACTATACAATTACACCTATATCCCAGATTATTCAATTACATCCCTACTTCCCAGAACAGATCACAAGAGAGTTAAATATATTCCATTCACCGAGGCTTGAAAAAATGCACCACTGGCCAGGCCTGTTGACAGATGGGGTAAAGGAGGCAACTTTGTCAGGGCCCAGCAACTCAAAAGGGCCAGGGAGCTCCTGGCCTCCACCAATGTTACTACAGCAGCGGCCAGAGGCCTGGGCCCTTCAAATTGCTGCTGGATTGCCCACGTGGCACACTCCGGGCAACATTGAGGCTGCCTGAGGGAGGTAGCCTTTCGGGAGTGCAGAGCTGGGCCTCGCTGAGTCTGTCAGCCCCACTGCCACAAGGTACTTGAGAAACTAAATGAAGCAATCTTGGCACTATTAGCAATTATTTTTGAGTATTCATGGAAGATGGGTGGGATGCTAGAGGACTGAAGAAGGAAAAATATATCTTTTACAAAGGGAACAAGGGGGACTTGGAGAATTATGGACCAGTCAGTCTCACTTCAATGCCTGTCAAAGTCAAATCTTGCCAAACCAACCTATTTTCCTTCTTTGATAAGGTTGTTGCTCTTGTGGAAGGAGCAAAGCAGCAGAAGTAATAGAGCTTGATTTTAATATTGCTTTTGACACAGTCCTCCATGACAGTCTCATAAGCTAGCTAGGGAAATGTGGTCCTGATGAAAAATTGCAATGTGGGTGCAAAACTTGCATCAGTGGTTTGCTCCCAAAGAGGAGGATGGACCTAGTGGGGTTCTACAGAAGTCCGTGGTATTCAACATTTTCATTAATAACTTCGTGTCATCCACAAGTTTTATTAGCATTCTCTCCACTGCATTATCCAAGTTGGAAAGAGTTGAAAGTATTTTTGATGACAGGATTAGGATTCAAAGTGACCTTGACAAATTAGAGAATTGGTCTGAATTGAACAGGATGAAATCCAATGATGACAAGTGCAGAGTGCTGCACTTAGGAAGGGGGAAAAAAATCAATCACACAAATATAAAATGGACAATAACTAACTAGGCAGTAATACCACTGAAAATGATCTAGGGGAATAGTGGATCTCAAGTTGAATACGAATCAATAGTATGATGTACCACTATAAAGCCTAAACCATTCTGGGGGCATATTAATAGGAGTGTTATATTTAAAACACAGGAAGTAATTGCACTGTTCTTGGCACCAAGGAGGCTTTAACTGGCATACTGTGTGTGGTTTCCAGGTGCCACATTGTAAGATGTGAACAAATTAGAGAGAGTCCAGAGGAGAGCAACACAAACAATAACAATTTTACAAAATATGAACTACGAGGAAAGGTGAAAGAAAAACAGGGCATATTTAATCTTGGCAAAAGAAAACGGAGGTGCAGCTTGATAACAGTTGAAGGCTGTTATAAAGAGGACAGTGATTGTTCCTCATGCCCACTGAAAGGAGGACTGCAGGCTTAACCTGCAGTAAGAGATGTAGGGTAGATATTAGGAAAAGAATAAGTACTGAAATATGCTTCCAAAGGAGAATCCCCATTTTTGGAGGTTTTTAAGAACAAGTGAGACATACATCTGTGAGGGATGGTTTGGAGAAATTTGGTCTTGCCACTTCATGGAAGGCTGGATTGGATGACCTCTCTAGGTCACTTCCAGATCTACATTTCTATGGTATAATCAGTGTTGGGGAATGTTGCAATGAATTATATGAATAAAATGGGAAATAATTAAATGGGGGAAAAGACTAAATGTAGATATAATTTTAAATAAAACTACAGAATCTTGAAAAATGTTAATTGAGTGGTAGAAAAACTTCAAAATGACAAAAATATATACATACATACCTGGTTTGCTGCAAATCTTGCTAAGAAATAATTACCATTTTCATATGTATCTATTAAGAAGAAAAAAATCAGTAGAATGAAATCTAGTCTGTTACAAAAAAAAAGATAAAATAACATTCATACAGTTACACTTTTACAAAACCAATCCCCTTTCCAAATTTTTGTTTGCTGTTTTCAGTTTAAGCATTACAATCAAATGATTACATACCATCTCTCATGGTTCTCATATTTCTATAAATAACAGTTAATTAGTATTATGCAATTAGTATACACATTTGTTCGAAGTTAGAAGTATCATATTTCAGTTGATAGACCTAAAATTATGCATATATTTTTAAAAGAAACATGTTTTAAATAAGGAAATAATGACATCTAACTGTCCTTCGGGGTTTTGGGTAATTAATTATTTCAAATTAGAGTAAAGAATCCTCCTGGTAAAATACATAAGAATAAGCTACAAATATAGGTGATAACTAATTGGTGGGTGGATAGCTCCTTACACTTACCTGTCTTAGGCATATACGCAGGACTGGGTACAAACTAGCTCTACATTTATATACCAGAACTAAGCAACATAATCCTGGCCATGCAGCCCTATTGGTGAATAGTGGTACTCTGCATTCTCTGACCATTTTGGGTTAGCAAATAGCCTGAAGGCTGTTTTAAAGTGTTGTCCATTTGAAAAGCCAAGAATCAGGCACAGGAAGAAGGGGGCAGGAAACCACCTATATTCCTGACATCAGACACTTCTGAATAGATGGCCCATAATACGTGAACCATCTTGGTTTAAAAAACCAGCTTGGTCCTGGTCCTGTTTCTCCTTTATTCTGTCATTTGCATGAGTGGAGCCCATCCTGTACCAAAAGTGATCACACTTACCAATGCTTTTTCCATCATCCCAGAAAAGCTGTCCTTGTGAAACCCCATTGACATCCAAAGCCACAGTAAGCCCCATAAAATTCTGTCGGCTACAAAAATAAAAAGGAGGCCAGAAAACACATTCATTTTCCTTCTTTCATTGGAGCCACAGATGTACATATTGTGACAACTGAAAGTTGACTTCTTAACTCCCTGGTGTACACTCACAAGTACAATTTTCAGTACATCATCAAACTGAACAGACGCTGTGTACTTAAAAAGAAGTAGCAATATAACTCTCAATTTAGAACTAGTTCTTGTCAACTCTTATTCCAAGCTCAGAATTATAAAGAAATACAATAAAGAACAAACAAACTGGGAGCTTATGCAGTCTTTGTTCTGCATGAAAACTCTCTTAAATATCAGTGGTTTTTACATTATTGGAAGCATGGGAGTGCTCCGTGTGTCCTTTAAAGAGGAAAACATACTGTAAAATAAGGAAACATACACGTTTTTTCTTACAGTATTATTACTAATTAGGGTACAACAGACAATAATAATTTCATCCATAACACTGAGGTGTCAAAAGCTGAGTAAGTAAATGTCACTCACTTTCCAAGTTACAAATTAACAGCCTACTTCTAATTTCTACACTGAAAATTGTTAATATAGTGTAAAATATTAGCATTGTTTTACATAAATTACTATACAATTGTTTTAAGGAGAACACTTCGATTTACTTCATTTACCTTTGATTGGTATGAATACCAGGTTCTTGCCAGGGGATAATGTAACCACCCCGGATATGAAGATTGATGTGCTCAAGAGGTGCCTGCAAAATCTGGAATTGTCCCCTTTTTTCAAGTTCTTTTCCCTATAAAGGAAGGGTTGTTTTTTTAAATAGAAAAGCACAAAGAATGGCTGTGTCTACATTGGCACCCCTTTCGGGAAAAGGGATGCTAATGTAGACTTTGGAATAGGCAAATCCGCGGGGGATTTAAATATCCCCCGCGGCATTTGCATTAACATGAAAAAAGCCGGAGAAAAGCGCCAGTCTAGACGTTATTCTCTGGAAAATAAAGCCTTTTCCGGAGGATCTCTTATTCCTACTTTATTTTCCAGAGAATAATGTCTAGACTGGCGCTTTTCTCCGGCTTTTCTCCAAGCCGGAAAAAAGCGGCAGCCATGTTAATGCAAATGCCGCGGGGGATATTTAAATCCCCCGCGGATTTGCCTATTCCAGAGTCTACATTAGCATCCCTTTTCTGGAAGGGATGCCAGTGTAGACGTAGCCAACCTGTTGAGTGAAATTTTGCTTTCAAACATACATCTCTCTCCTCCCTAAAAAAAAATCTAATGTTGCAAATGCACATCATTTTACACAATTAACTCATAGAAACATTAGTTGAAATCCATAAAGATGGCTATTTCCAAATCCATATTATGCCATGTTAATAAACTATGCTACATTTTAAGTAAAATATCTGATTCATGTGCTACATCACAAGGAGTGCTATACTTTGGTTACAGGTTGATTTTGCTTTCTTTGTTTTATTGTTTGTTTTTGAACTTTTCTTGTGCTGTAGTTGCAAAACATCAACAGTTCAGAGGGGAAGCATAATGAAGAAACTTAAAATAAATAAAATAAAATGATTGGTATTTAAGGGAAACCAGTCACTTCTGAAACATCTTTGCTTTTCTGCATATTGGAATTTCCATATATTCAGCAGTTCTTTATTTAAAATGGAGACAGCAGAGCTGGTCACATGCCAAAACAAAACATTAGTTGATGAATCAAAGTCTTCTGTTAAAAATGGCAACTGCTGTCAAACAAAATTTGACCAGTCCTAGCTATCACAATTATTTGAGCCTTTCTTAGTTGTGGGTTTTCTATTACTGTGTTTCTCAACCAGTGGTATGAATACCCTTAAGGATATTCGAGAAAAGTCTGGGGGATACGTCAACACAACTGAAATTTGGAGAAAACTGAATTTTTGTGTTAAGTTTTTCAGTGCTTTTATTATCTTTGTATATTTTATACCCCAAAATTGCATTGCCTGCCCAGCTACAATTAAGTTATTTAAATAAATGTGTTGCAATGGTCGAAAAAAAAATTGTGTGTCTGAAAAGTGTAGGTACTGGGGGTACTTATAATTTTTTTAAGTACTTTATAAAAAAAAGGTTGAGAAACATGCTCTATTAGGCTACATCTACAATGTGGAGCTATTTCAGGATACTGCTATTCCGATGTCCCTGTAAACCTCATTTCACAAGGAGCATGAGACCTTTCAGAATAGTGCTCTATTTGGAAATTAACTCAAAATAAGCTACACAATTTGTGTAGCTCCATTATTTCGAGCTCTGGGTGCAGTGTAGATGCACCTAAAAGTAAAGTTTCTTATCTTTTAAAATAACTGGAATAGTACAGACTCACCATGCAAGCTGCTGAGTGCATTATGAGAGGCATAATGTCAATGGAAATGAAAAGAGCACATCATCTTCTCAGCACCTTCTAGGATCTAATTGTTAAGAAAGGCCTATTGTACAGAGAACAATCCTAAATTGCTTACCGTGTAATAATCATACCAGCGTGCATTGGGTATATAAGCATTCACTGTTGTAGCTCCCTGAAACATGAAAATATATTTATGTAAGAATTAAAACTTTAATCAATGTTTATAGTCTATTGCTTTTAAATGTTCATTTCATAAAGAATATAAATATTCAAACACTTACTTCTTCCAATACAGGGCTAATCAGCAATGCTGGACCCCATAAAAACTGTTTGTATATATCCCATGTTGCTTTCTCTTCCACAAACCTAAAAGAGTGAAAACATCATCAATCAGGGCTTAATCTTTTTCATTCAGTCAGGCTAATACTGCCAATCAAAATTAGGAATCTGAGAACCAGAAGTGGTGTTCTTGAAATATTGTCAATCCAACTGGAGCAGGGAGGAAGGAATTTAAGGATGGTCCTTAGTTCTGTGCCAAGTGCCAATGTGATGAGATGGTATTCATTTTCTCTCAAAACAGTTCCTCATGTGGTATGAGATGTTGTCATCAAATGGTTAGAGACAGAATCCAAAAGACAAATCCAATTAATAGACTGTATTACATGCTTTCATTAGAGCAGGTTAAAGGCAAGTATGACATGATTTGGCTTCTTATGTTAGTGGAATTAGAAGAATCAATGTCTCTTTAGTATAGTGATGCCTGCACCTATTGAGCAGATATACATTTCCCAAATACCCTCTTCTCATAATACCCATGCCTATCATCCCTTCATTCACTGTGTGCCACAGATACGAGAATTCACCTAAAGTAAACTTAACAATGTCCAAGTCCTTAGTAATAAAAAATAGTGCAAAAGGCAAATGTAAGCTGATAGATGAGCATCACTCATTTTGTTTTCCACGCTTTATATGGAGTTTTCCTGAACAAGGAGGATATGAGACACTTTAGCAATATAGTACCTCCTTCCCAATATATACAAGAATCTCATGCAGACAGGTTTCTTTGCCCTTAGATCTGCCATAATGGCCCTAAAAACAGTAAGAAATGGATTCCAAAATATTTCCCTATAGTTCCAGGATGAAAAACTTTGGTAGGTTAACTGCTCCTCTGCCACAATGTAACTGTGCTCCTCTGCCACAATGTAACTTCCTACATTAAAAGTACAATTCATCTACATAGGAGACTGCCTCAGGGTATGTTTAGACTGCATCCCTCTGTCGGCAGAGGAATGCAGATTAGGCAGGTCAACATTGCAAATGAAGCAGGGATTTAAATATTCCATGCCTAATTTGCATAAAAATGGCCTTCACGTTTTTCCGGCTCAGCACTTTGTCAGCAAAAAGCGTCAGTCTAGAGGGGGATCTGTCGAGAAATAAAGCCTTTTTCGACAGATCCCTTATGCCTCCTGCAAGGTGGTTTATATCATATAGGTCATAGAGAAAAATCATGTCTGAGGTTTATGACTGGGCAAAGAAGGACTCCTGCTTCATCAAGATTCAGATATTCAATATCAACATTGTGGTCAAACACTTAATACTTACTCATGAAGCAAAGGACGTGTTACAGTGCCACCATAAACATGGGTTTCATGCATTATAGTGTAGAGATAAGGTAACAGTGTGTATCTTGTATTGAGTACATCCCTTGAAATATTTTGAAATCTTTCATCAAATGAAGCAGGGTCTTGCCTCTAAAAACAAAGATAAAACAAGGTTACTATTTCTATTGTAAAATCTCTCTTATATCCACCTTCCTGCCGAAGGAAAATACATATGGGCATACAATAGCAGAAATTGGCTTTACTGACAAACGTTAAAACAAAGAGTTATAGATATTTAGAAACCTGCATATTTACAGAACTCTGATAAACTGAAAGTAAAGGATTTATCTTTGTCGGTCCAAATTAAGTCCAAATAAAGCTGATTGCAGCTGAAGTCTGCTCTGCTGCCTTCCTAGGAAATGAAGTCAGCTCCCTTCCAAATGGACACTGAAATTTAGGTTCTGATCGAAGCCCCACTGAAGTCAATGGGACTGTTTCCACTAATTTCTATGGATGCTCAGTAAGGACTTGGTTTAGGTGAACAAGTGTTTCTTTATTACAGAACATTCCATTGGAAAGGAACTCCAGCTTATGCTATTTGAATTGACAAAACTCAGTGGCTTCTAATTAAGACAAAACCATCAACTCACCATAGTTCCGATCACATTATGATTTCTAGAAAAGGTGTAAAATGATCCAAGCTGCATCCAGCGGGCGCACATTTCATATGTTGTATCATTGAAGAAGCCACAGATATCTGCTCCAATCTAAAAGCATTTAAAAGGCAATTAGATCTGAGTACTGTCAATTATTAAATGGTGTAAATGTAAAAACATTTAGAATAGGAATTCAAACTAGTAACATAACTTACATAGGTAATTCCAAAGAGGCCAAACTCCATTATACCTGCAAAAAATCCAAGAATAAATAAGACAAAATGTTCAGCTTCATCTTTCTCTGTCAGGCTAAATAAGGAGGGATTCTGAAATGGGATCTTATGGGATTCACTGCAGACAAGGATCCTGACTTTGGCCTGCTTCTCTAAGATACAAAACTGTACAATTCCACTTTCTTGCTGTGATATCATCCAAATATACATTCTCCCTAGAGAGTTGCTTTTCTTAGTAGTTTACATGATCACACATCATAAACCTCAGCCCAAGCCCTACAGCTTGGTTGTTTCTAGGAATTTCATAATGGATCAGAGCCTTTTGCTTTTAGCTCCATATATCTAAGAAAGATTCATAGACTGAACCTGATATCCCTACATTGAGGCTAAGCATAAACACCTGATACAATACCACAGTGATTCAGCAAAAATACCACTGCATATTTATACATGGTTCAATAACCAAGTGTCTAGATGACCCAATGGAAGAGAGTTCTGGATCCCTATTAAAGCTCCAGGGATTTGTCACTCTCTTACTGAAACCTTCCCATCTCCCAGTACAAAACCAGCTAGCAATTTCCTCGTATCAATTAGCATCTGCAGAATAGCCAGCATCCCAATGGTTACATAGTGGTTTTCCAAATGTTGATTTTATATTATAAAGCATAGAACTGTGTGCTGTACAGGAAACAAAATTAACTTAAGTGCAGCCACTGTATTTCAACAGATTTTTTCTCCTTTGTCATAGTTTAAAGCTTGAGGGTCATTAAAGTAAGTTACTCCTCATACCAATGATAGATTTTTCAAGCTGGTCCCATCTTGCATAGTTATCACCCAGCCAGTGACCTGCCCATCGTCCACTAGAGGGATATGTTGAACGGGTGATAACAATTCCACGTTCCCCTGTGGCATTGCGGATGGCACTAATATAAAAAATATAAACATACGCACATTAGATGTGCCAATAAGAAGATCTATTTTATAAAATATCTAATTTGGAAACATCAAATGGAGAGATCACATTTCTATGCAGAATACAGTTCTTCATTTCTCAGGTCTTGATGCTACAGCAGTGGTCACCAACCAGTAGATTGGGATCTACTGGTAGATCTTGGAGCCTTTGACAGGTGATCCTGACAGGTTTGGACAGGAGACTATCAAGTTCTAGCACTTCGGCTGCCCCTCTCAGCACTGCTGTGCTGCTCCTGCCCTTTGCCTTGGAATTGTCCCTCTCCTCCATCCGTAGGAGCCTTCTGCTTGCTGTGCAAGGCATGGGAAGAAGAGGAAGGGAGGGTACTGATGTCAAGATACCCCTCTCTCCAGCCTGTACCCCACCTCCACAGACCAGAGGGGGGCAGGGATTGAGAGAGTTTGCCGGCTGCTTTGGGGAATGGTGCAGGGCGAGGACAGAAGTGAGCCTGCCTTAGCTCCCTGTGCCACCAGCCAGAAGCCACCTTTGGTAAGTGGTATCCAGCTGGAACCTGCATGCCGCACCCTGGCCCCTGTCCTGAACCCCTCTTGCACTCCAAATTCCTGCCTCCAGCCTGATAAAAGTGAGTGAGGATGGAGTGAGCAGGGTTGGGGACTTGGAGCAGGGGAGGGAAGGAGGCGGGATGGGGTTTTTGAGTTTGAGGTAGATCCTGGATTGCAATTAAATTCAAAAAATGATCTCATGGTTGGAAGGTTGGAAACAATGCAACACGTTTCACTTTACTGTGAGTAGTTACATAGAGTTAAGAAGGATAATCGCATGACGAAAGTTATTTATGTGCTATGTGTTTGCAGGTCGAGTACCTAGATCAGAACTACTTGCAATTGGGGCTGCAGCCTTGCAGTCAGCATTAGGGTTCTCCAGAACAAACCTGTGAAATGCTCTGCCTTCTCAGGATCAAGCACCAGGATCACAAGTATACAGATTGCACTGGGACCGAGTGGGAGGAGAATCGAGGAGGGGCATGGTTCCCTGCATACCCATATGTAGACACACTCTGGCCCTTACTAGTTTTCACACTAGAATAACATTTTATGAATTTTGTATTGTTATTATGTGCTATGCAATGAAAAAATAACAGTGCTCATCATTTGCACTTTTGTAGTATTTTTTATTTGACTTCTCAAAGAGCTTTGCAAACACAGTTATACAAACTTCAGAAGTTTCATATGTTTGGTATGGATCAGATGATTAGTTCTCAACTGTGGATTGGGATCCCCAAGTGGGAAGCGGTCTCATTTTAATGGGGTTGCCAAAGCTGGTGTTAGATCTGCTGAGGATCAGGCCAAAAGCCCAAGCCTCACTATCTGGGACTGGGGCTGAAGACAAAGAGTGTCACCCCTTAGTGGCAGGGCTTACGTTACAGCCCCCCCTGCATGGGGCTGAAACTCTTGGGCTTCAGCTTTTGGGATCCCCAACCTGGGCTGGTGGAGCTCAGGCTTCGGCTTTAGGTCTCCCACCTAGCAGGAGAGGCAATTTAATATAACAGACCATCTATATTCCTGGCCAGCAAAAATAAACTCAATGGCGACCTTTAACCTGGTAAATAAAGCTGCATTTGTTGGGAACACATTGCACATTTCCAATGTAGCAATATCAGAAAATGGCAACCAGCTTTTCGGACCTGATCCAAAGCCCACTGAAGTAAATGGAATTATTCCAATGGATTGCAATGGGCTTTGGATCAGCCCCTAAATAAACTGTTTGCAATATTTAAATACATATTACAGCCAGTGCTTTTTTTGTAAGAAAAAAGGTGCCGGTACTCCAGGCTCAAAATTGTTGAGCCAAAAAGAAAGAAAAAAAAAAAAGCCGCACCGGGGATGAAATGCAGTCGCATACCATCACAAAAAACCCGCACCGGGGATGAAATGCAGTCGCATTAATAAATGATTACAGCAGAAAAGATAAGATAACATTGAAAATACCTTAACTATAACTTATTAACAGTAAAGCAGAAACAAGCTAATAATGATGGAATTGCAGATCATTAAGGGTCAATTATTCTATAGAACCTAATCAAATGACATCAGTGGAAATACTCAGAGTTTACACCACAGTAATTGAGGCCATATTCTGACCTCCAAACACTGGGGGTTTTTTTTAGAATAAAAAAGTGAAAATGACTTACTAGTAGGTAGGTGGTGCCTGTGACCATCCATACAGACTATGTACATCATAGTGCCTGACGGGGGTCCCATCTGGCAGGAACTGTTGACTTTCCATGCACAGGGTCACGAGAGTCAGCCCTTTTTCCTTTTCTGCCAAAGCTAACAAGGAGGAGGAGATTAAAAGTCAAACCACTAAACTCTGTGTCAATAAGAAGCCAAGTAAGTCACGCACACTTTAAACCTCCATTTTTATTTTTTACTACTGCCCTCTTTCAATGGCCTGAGTGCTGATATATTTTGGGAGAACATTTAAGGCTATGTCTTCCTAGCAATTCGTCATATGGAATGATGGCAGGACATATCCTTGATGGCATCATCCCAAATTTTTGACAATATTATGACCAGCAGTCTTGTGTACTGGTTAATGACCACAATATTATTGCAATCTGGATTTGAGCATGAACCATCATTGTTCTCACTACAAAAGTGCAATATGAATTCATGGTATTAGGTCCTTAGTTTGGATTTTATCCTCATAATTTTAACTACAGCTCTAGAGTATATCATAGGAAATAAACTTAACTACAAGATTATTGTTGATGCTTACAAGCCTAAGCCTTAAGCATGGTTTTAATATGAACAAGTACATTAATGCTTAATATTTTATGTGAGGTTGGGCCAAATAAACTTTTTTTTTTTGAGTCACAGTGAACAATTCACAACATAGGAACTAGTTTACAAATCTTTTCTACTGGGTAACAGAGGATATTATTTAATAACGAGGTGTGTAACAATAAGAATGCAAATTACAAACAAGAGTCCTTACATGGCATATAAGGGGGGTTGTTTAGAAGTGGATCTCTGCAGCCATCAACTGCTCCATTAATAAAGCTTGCTGGTTCATTCATGTCCTAATTATTTTTTAAAGAAAAGAACACAAATATTCAATAACTTCATCCTGAACCCATGGCAGCTCAGCTATTCAATGAACTAAAATTTCCTAAATGTGCCAATTTGAGTTCTAAGAGAAACAAATCAAATATATCACCTAATTACAAACAAGTGAGCAATCTATTCAATACAAATGGAAAATTCACCATTACCCTTCTGCTGACAGATGCTGTGAAGTTATGAATGTTATTTCATTTTCCCACTAGCTTTTGGCCTCCCTGAGCTCTGACTGAATTAATTACAATGCTCCCTAAACTTGCATTTTATTTCCATAAAGGCCACCGCTTCTTGGCTCCTGGCTGAGAAGCTATGGACATGGTTTTATAGCTCTCTATGGAGTACATCTGTGTCATTTCTGAAGTAGCCATGGAAAGAGAGAAGATCGCACATAAGGCAGAGGGGTGCTCTCTTTAAGCCTAGGAGCTGCATATGTATCATGTTTCTCACACAGTTCCAATTCTATTTTCCATATGCACGCAGAGTAGTGCCACATGCTCATTGAAATGTGCCCACGGAAATGTCCCCACAGATCACTGCAATCTGAACTCTGTGCTTATATTCATCAGTCAAGCATATTACTATTCAACCAGCTCCACTCTGCATCAACTTTGAATATTTTACTTGATCCAAAAACATTACTTGATCCATCCAAAACTTTACCCCTTTATTTGTTTTATGTGAGCTAACAGAGGGCATGTCTACACTACCACCCTAGTTCGAACTAGGGTGGTAATGTAGGCAACCGGAGTTGCAAATGAAGCCCGGGATTTGAATTTCCTGGGCTTCATTTGCATAAAGCCGGGCGCCGCCATTTTTAAATGTCCGCTAGTTCGAACTAGGGTGGTAGTGTAGACATACCCAGACAGACATTTGTGTTGGGTTCAGTAACACAGAATAGAACCGTAATGGTTTTTTTTTCACAGCTTGTCAAAGTACAGTCTAATGATATTGATGATGTTTATCCTAATTGACATATCATTATTGCCCTGTATTAATAAACTTAGAAATTTCTATGTTGGCATATTTCTTTGGAAGATGGCTACTTTTTTCTATAAATGAAAGCCATATATATTGTAATCTCTTGACAGATGTCTATGGAATTTAGACAAACATCTTCCAATAAGACTGGTATGTGTCATAATCTCCTAGACTGCTTTGAAATTCAACCCAAACATACATATACCAGCTATTTGTATAAAACATACTGCAGGAACACAGATTTTTTAACAGCATGTTTTTCCTCATGGTGATAATTCAGTAACCTAGTAACATTGGATCTCTATAATTATTTAGAAAACAAGTTGATGATCTTTTACAGTGATTTCAGGAGGAGCTGTTAAGAGAACATTATTTGTCAAAACAGTACTGGCTGATATGACCCATTTTGGATGTGTGGATGTGCACTGTACTCTCATCACATCTAAAGATATTACATGAGTTGTCTATGTAGTCTACATTGCTGCATTTCAGGCAATCTGCAGTTGTTTGCATAGATTCACCATAAAGTCAGAGCTGATTCTTGAACTCCCACAGAAAGCATCATGAAATGTGACCCTCAGGCACAGAGTCACAAGAACAAAGAGCATTAAACAAATGCATCCAGTTTGTAGTTACGGTTGAGTCTAACACTCAGGTTTCCTCACCATGGATTCAGCTATTGAAATGAAGAAGCAGTGAACATGCTAGCAAATATAATTAACTCTTTAGTAGCATGAATGTTACTGAAGCCTTCTTAGAATGGTAGGAATTTCCTGAAAACAGTAACAAGTGTCCTACAATAAGGTGTATTATTGAACAAAGAAACAAAACAAGAAAAGGTGCACACTTACAGTCCATAAGCCATCAAATTTCACACTCTTCTGTGGATCAACTGGATTAGAGTGGAACTCCACTATTTCTTTTTGCCACCACTGTGCTGTAGAATTACGGAAGAAATCTGGGAAAGCTGCATAAGCTCTGTACAACTTAAAAAAGTTACATACAATGTATGAAAAGAGACACAGGTATTGGATATCAATGTAGTCAACTGCTTTCACAACCTAAACAAACTAAATCACAGGACTAAGACTGTAATGAAAGTATAGAAATTGATTAAGATGCACCTATGGTGGTATGAAACGCAATCTTAAAACTAGTATTCTCTATTAACTATTCAAGTAAACATATGTCAGACTGAAGTAAATAGTCTTAGGTAAACAAACTATCAGATTAAATATACAAGCCATTTTTTTAAAGGTGCAAGAACACCAAAAGATTGCCACCAGAGTAAATAGCAGAGTGAGGGAGACCATGAGAGGCAAAAAGACATCCTTTAAAAATTGGAAGTCAAATTCAAGTGAGGAAAATAGGGAGGAGAACAGGCTCTGGCAAGCTAATTGTGAGGGTATCATAAGGCAAACCAAGAAAGAATTTGAAACACAACTTGCTCAAGATATAGAAGCTACCAATAAAATTGTAAGTACATCAGAAGCAGGAAGCCTGCCTGACAGGCAGTGGTGCTACTAGATCACAAAGGTGTTAAGAGATCTCTCAAGGAAGGCAAGGCTATTGCCAAAATACTCAATGGAACCAATTACATCAGAGGACATGGGAGAGATACCCACACCAAAGCTATTCTTTTAGGGCAACAAATTTAGACAAAGATAATTTATTGGAGAAGAGACAACCTGGCTTTTGTAAAGAGAAGCCTTTCTTCACCATTCCATGAGAATTTTTCAAGGGGGGGGGGGTCAATAAGCATGTGTATAACAGTGATTTAGTGGCAACAATGTACTTGGATTTTAAGAAAGCCTTTGACAAGGTCCCTCACCAAAGGCTTTTAAGCAAACTATGTAATTGTGGGATAAGAAGAAAAGTCTTCTCATGGACCAATAATTGATTGAAAAATAAGAAACAAAGGGTCAGAATAAAGTCAGTTTTCACAATGGAGAGGGGTGAACAGCTGAGACCAGCGTCAGAATAAAGTCAGTTTTCACAATGGAGAGAGGTGAACAGCTGAGACCAGAAGGGTCTGTACTGGCACCTCTTGTTTTAAAAAAAATTGTGAATGAAAAGATGAAGAGTGAAATGGTGACATTTGAAGACGACTTGTAAAGGTATCTCACAAAACTGGGCAACAAAATGGCAGATGAAATTCAACTTCAGTAAGCGGAAAGTAATGCACATTGGAAAAAATAATCCCAATTATGCACATACAATGCAACTATATAAATCTATGGTGCACAGAACTTTGAATACTGTGCTCAATTCTGGTCATCTCATTGAAAAAAATATTGTGGCACTGGAAAAGATTCAGAGAAGGCCAAGAAGATGATTCAGGGTATGGAACAGCTTCTATAGTAGGAGAGACTAAAAATACTGGGACTATTCATCTTAAAAAACATATCACGCTGGGTACGTCTACACTACAGCGCTAGTTCGAACTAGCAAAACGCTAGTTCGAACTAGCAAAACGCTAGTTCGAACTAGCAAAACGCTAGTTCGAACTAGCAAAACGCTAGTTCGAACTAGCAAAACGCTAGTTCGAACTAGCAAAACGCTAGTTCGAACTAGCAAAACGCTAGTTCGAACTAGCAAAACGCTAGTTCGAACTAGCAAAACGCTAGTTCGAACTAGCAAAACGCTAGTTCGAACTAGCAAAACGCTAGTTCGAACTAGCAAAACGCTAGTTCGAACTAGCAAAACGCTAGTTCGAACTAGCAAAACGCTAGTTCGAACTAGCAAAACGCTAGTTCGAACTAGCAAAACGCTAGTTCGAACTAGCAAAACGCTAGTTCGAACTAGCAAAACGCTAGTTCGAACTAACTTTGTAGTGTAGACATACCCTAAGGGAGTTATGATAGAGGTCTATACAGTCATAAATGGAGTAGAAAAATTGAAGTGTTATTTATACTTTTGCACAATACAAACACCAAGAGTCACAAAATTAATAGACAACAATTTTAATACAAACAAGAGGAGATACTTTTTTGCTCTGTTCTGTACACTCCCACTGAAGTTTTGGTACATGCCACTGTCAGAGACATGTTCCTGGGATAGATGAACTATCAATTTGACCCAGTATGTCAGCTCCTATATCCTTAAATAATGCCAGTATTGCTCACCTCACATGCCTCAATTCTTAATACAGTATGGACATGTAAATCAATACTATACATAAACTATCACAAAAAAAGGTTGATGTAGAAGATGTAGAAAGCCCCAGACAGCTTTAGGAATTGAATCAATATATTGGTTTCAGTGGGAGTTGTTGCTGCTCAAGACTCCATATAAAGGATGCTTTATGTTCCCTTGTTTGTGCCTGGCCACATTCATAGGCCAGGTTTGAACGGCTCATATGTGTAGAAGTACTGTAAGGTAATAGGGGACATAAGGTGAAATGCAGCCTCTATGGCTATGTGCTCACTAGAGTAAAAGGAACAATTTCCAGACTGGGTAGACAGAGCAGTAGTAGCTCTGATTGAGCTTGTGTGATAAAGAGGGGGTAACTGTGTTAGTCTGTAATTTTAAAAATAAGTAGTCCAGTCCGGTGGCACCTTAGTCTCTGAGGTGCCACATAACTACTCATTGTCGAAAAAACAGAAGTAAAGCTACCATTGTGAGAGCTACACACAAGTGTTTTTTAAGGTGATCCACCCAGAGTCCCTAGGGATGCACATAGGCTGCTTACTCCTCCCATTGCTTATTCTGATGTGGCTGCACTTCCATTTTTAGTGTATGAGTACTTAATCCAGAAATTACATTCCTAGTTCTAGCACAGACATATCCGATGCCACTGACTTCAATGGAGCCAGAATTTCACCTTTTGTTTCACCATGGCTGTGTCTAAACTGGCAAGTTTGTCTGCAAAATCATCTGCTTTTGCGGAAAAACTTGCCAGCTGTCTACACTAGCCGCTTGAATTTCCACAAAAGCACTGACGATCTCATGTAAGATTGTCAGTGCTTTTGCAGAAATACTATGCTGCTCCCGTTCGGGCAAAAGTCTTTTTCCGAAAAACTTTTGCGCAAAAGGGCCAGTGTAGACAGCAGAGATTTGTTTTCCGCAAAAAAGTGCCGATCGCGAAAATGGCGATCGGGGCTTTTCTGAAAATGCTTTTAACAGAAAACTTTTCCGTTAAAAGCATTTCCGGAAAATCATGCCAGCGTAGACGTAGCCCTTATGTTTCCTTAAGATTCTAGTATAGGGAAGTAAGGAGAACTAAAATATAAAGGAATGGCTCACTAGGAACACTAGAGATTGTATCATATGAATATTTGGAGTATTTAACAGACAACCTTGTGTGTAATTAGCAATAGTGCTGTTCAATGCTTCCAATTTTGTTAAGATTTCATTAGCCACCTCTAGTTTTCTTATACAAATTGTAGATGTAGTAGTTTATAAAATATGTTTAATATTAATCTATTATTTACAATTTGCTTTACAGCCTTACAGACCAAGTGGGAATGGAGTTTCATTATACTAAGACTGCTAGACCATGGGTGGCCAACCCATTCTGGGCAAAGAGACAAGGTAGCAATGGATCCAGCACGAAGAACAAGGTCAAAGTTGTTGAGCAAAAAAAAAAGACTACCCTTCTACCCCTTTAAAAGGCCCCAGTTGTGTTTGGTCTAAAAAAAGACTCTGTCCCTTTAAGAAAACACATTTTGAAGCTTTTGGGCCACAGCAGACTCCTGCTGTCTGCCACCATCTTTATTTTTGCAGCTTTCATGGCTGCACCAGATGGCTCCCCTGCCCAGGTTAGCACAGGGAGCCGGGACGAGAGGGCCATTTTTGAGGGCATGGGGGTGACTTTTGAGCCATGGGGGGGGGAGGGGAGGAAGAGCCGCATGTGGCTCGCAAGTTTCGGGTTGGCCATGGCTGTGCTAGACTATCCTCGTCCTGAAGATCTTGCTGATTAAATGCATAAAACAAAAGTGTTGGAATGAGAATATAACTCACAAGCGGAGTGACTTTCTGAAATATCATGTTAATTTCATGATTTTCCCCAGTTAAAAGAAAACCTTCATGGGTGTGTGCTAGCAGTGATTAATGAATTGGAAAGACAAAGGAAGGGAGAAGGAAAGGAGAGAAGAGAGACAGAGAAGGAAGGATGTAAGGAAAGAAGACTAGACTGAGTTGGAGAGACTATGAGAGAAGGAGGGGCTGAAGGGAACACTGATGGAAAAGTTAAGTGTACCTACCTTGAGCTGTGTATCTAAATCTGAAGACTCGTTAACTGTGACATTAGGATAATCTGGCCAAACCTAAAGAGAAATGAGGGAAGAACAAATTAAGCTAAACTGAACTGATTTATATGTAGTTTCTGAGGCCTATTACAGTTTTTAAAATGTACTTCTTGGAGGTCAGCATGCACACACAGCTGCACAGAAATGTTACCTTTTGCAGTGTGCATACATTTAGCACTGTACAAAATCAATTCCTGCTATGAACATGCACTCCCTTCGTTGAAGGAAAATAGAGATACAGCTGAATATCATTGTTAGTGATAGCACTATTGTACTCTAAACCATCTCTCTATTACCTCTCCTAGAGGCATTAACAGACACACTGGACAAGTGGGGTGGCAGGGAAAGCCTGAGGACTACACATAAATCCTCAATTTAAAAAAATACATTTTCTTCAGAACAATAGTTTTTCATTCGGAAACCACAGATCTCACAAGTGTACCTTTGCCCAGACAATCTCATTGCTGCTAGGCCGTTTGATGAAGACATCATTCTGCACACCTCTTGTAAATGCTGGATAATCATTTGTTTCATTGCCCGATATGGGTGGATCCTAAAGTGCAGAGAGAAGCCTGGGTTTTAGTTACATTAAGGAAGCAAATATGGACATTATTTAATTCATTAAGTGAATTAAGGTATTCAACTATCTGTAAGTATGCTAAGTGAAGAAAAAAGAACCAAAACTGCTAACCAGAATAATGATGAATCTCATTCCTTCATCTTTCATACGATTAATCAGAGCAGGAAGTCCTGAAAAGTTTGGGCTTAGAGTAAAGTCTAACTTCCGGTCCATGTAATCAATGTCTGTAAATTGCACATCCTGCAGTAAGTGAAAACAAATAGGTTAGAAGTTATTTTAGAAGTCAAAGGTGTAATTAACTTTAGAAAGTCTCATTCAGACTGGGGCTATGTCAACACCGTGGGAGGTTTCCGGGATACCCCTGCATTCCAAGGAATGCATTTGCTGTTACGCTTTTTTTGCGGAAGAGCAAACGAGCTCTTTTGGGGAGCCCTGAATTCCTCATTCTATGATGGATAAGGGCTCTGCCAAAATAGGAGATTTTTCCACCATTTGGCCCCATCTAGACTGGGCCAAATGGCTGAAAAGCCTCTTCTGGAAAAGCGATTGGAAAAATCTATGCAAATTGCGGAGCGCAATTTGTGTAACTTTCTCCGACAAAGGACTGTAGTGTAGATCTAGCCTGGGTTAGCTTTAGAATGTTCAAATGATAACATCTGGGATTCTTATTTTTTCTCAGTTAGTTTGCCTAATATTTAAAACACAAGAAAATAAATTGGCAAAATGCTGCTTTTTAAAGAAAAGGTATTGGGCTAGATTCATCACTGTGAATTTCCACCAGGAGGAAGTTGGGTCAACTTATTTATAGAGAGGCACAATGTAAGAGTTAAAGGAAGCACCATTTTTAATATACATATTTTAAAAGAAAAGAGATACTGAAATTGGGGCTTTATACCATGCAGGGAGAATGCCATGAAAACAAAATGGTATGCAACAGTGGTTCCAGAATTATCATTTTAGACATGATGGAAAAACATTACATCCCTTTAACTTAAGCAGTAGTTTATGCTGTCAGTTGCTCAGGTCAAGAATTCAATCCTCCAAATAAACTGAATGGGATTTGTTAAACGTGGGGGCTTTACAAAAATGGAGATGAACTGCTATAACCTTCTGACACTTGGGATAAACTTTCCTGCGCAGAAGAAGTGGATAATAGGGTTTCAGTATAATATGTAGGGTTTTTTTCCCATAATTATTTCCCACTTCTTTCCTAGAAAACAAATCTATGGTTAGAGAATTCAAATGACATCACTGATAGTAACTGCAAACAACATACATAAGGTATCCGAGCTGCCTTCATTTCTTCATACAGGTCAGAGATTTCGGTGTCATTTTTGTATCCATAACGGCATAACTGGAATCCCAAAGCCCAGTATGGTGGCATAACTGGTCGACCAATTAGCTAACAGCAATAAAATAGGGAGAAGAAAACATTACTTTATCACAGTGATATTGAAAATAGGACAAAACACCATTAATTGTATAACTTTAACATATCAATCCTACTGCAGTGTATTCCTGAACAACAAGCTCTGGCGTTGGACCCAGCACCATGTAAAAGTCCAGAATTCCTCCGATAGTGCGATATGTCAGAGCAGGAGTTGGCTGGAATGTGACATCTGAAAAGACAGAGCATATATTCAGGCACCAAGTAATTGAATAAATCATTGTTATGAGAAAGTGCACAATAAAGAAATTATTTCTGAAAGTAATTTTTTTACCCATTCCATTACTGTTAAACAAGAAGACCCCATGAGCATTTCCATCATTTTCCAGGCCCATGTAAAAGGGGTGGACTCCATAGGAATTCAGCTTGTACTGCAAAAATAAGAAAAAAGACCTTCAATTTATTGCAGGTATTTCATTTGCTTTTCTTATTTAGTTATTTACAATGAATTAAGTGTACATGGAACATCCTGTCATGGAACATCCTTAGTACATGGAACTAAGCAATGTATTACTAGAAAACCAATGCTTATGGGGCATTCATTTTAAAAGGCAAAGAAGTATAGTTTGCTAATCCAATGCACTTTCATCTCTGTAGTTTCACAAAATTCTTTCATAAAAATTTCTCCCTATTGTGGCTTAAGAACATTAGAACGGTTGGACCAAAGGCCCATCTAGCCCAGTATTCTGTCTTCCGACAGTGGTCAATGTCAGATGCCCCAGAGGAAGTGAATAGAATAGGGAATCATCAAGTAATCCCTTTACTGTCACCCATTTCCAGCCTCTGGCACAGGCTAGGGACACCATTTCTATTCATCCTGGCTAATAGCCATTGATGGACCTAACCTACTGGAATGTATCTAGTTCTGTCTTGAACCCTGTTGAAGTCCGGGTCTTCACAACTTTCTCTGGCAAGGAGTTCCACAGGCCAACCATGAGCTGTGTAAAGAAAGACTTCCTTTTGCTTATTTTAAACCTGCTACCTAGAATACTAGTATACTTGTTATTGTTGTTTCCCCTGTAATGTGGTAGGTGCAACATTAATGTGCAATTCTTATCACTGAATCACGTTTCATAAAGATACAAGTCAGGATGCGCCAGTGATCAGTCTTAGCCATTTTATAGATGTACATAATATAAATTATTATTTACATCTGAAGGCCTAGACAGACTCACTTCCTTTTCTTTCTTTTTGCAGGCTGAGGCCCCAACTAGGTACATTTCTACATCTTCTTAGGAAAGGCCAGTTTGGGCAGCAGACCCAGACTATAAATTCTTCGTGTCCCCTTAACCCAGAAGAGATCATCCAGGATGATGTTGCAATTCGCCAACTTTTACTCACATGTATAGAAATAGCCTTAATGCGATAAAAGGCTGATTGCATCTGAGCTAATGCCTGCCCTGCTCATAGAAATATCTGACAACTGGATTCTCCTTGCTTCCAATTTCTTGTAGCTGACATCTTGGTGCCTCATGGTGTCCCGCGGAGTTGGGGGATGTTCAGATTTCAGGACCTGCTACTAATCCATCTCTCTATAGTAAATGGAACCATTGTGCTTATATTCCTGGATATCTCTGCCCACAACTTCAACTACAGGGTGGATGTGTGCTTACAGAATTGCTAGGCACTGCGATTCCCATTAAAGTCAATGAGACCTCAGAGCACCCAGCATCACAGAAAACCTGCCCGTCTCCCCTCCCCCCACTACCACCAATTCTTCCCTTCCTCTATCTGTCTATATAAACTTTGCGTTTGAGGGTGATTGTCTATGGGTTGCTTTCCCTGTCCTCTCTATAAATGGCATATCTGCAAAGAGGATAAAACATCTGCCAAGACTTGTTGATAAAATATTAATGCCACAATATTTCAGGCTAAAAGTGGATTTTACAAAATGCCCTTCCACAAAATAATCAAATCTTAAAAAGTTAAAAAAAAGTTAAATTTTCAGAACTTGGGAAGGATGAGAGAAAACTGGCAAACAATATTTTCGAAATCAGTTCTCCAATTGTGCTCAGCTCTTGTAGAAACCAGCATATACCACAGAAATAGAGGAATTGACATCATAGATGAAATTTGCTATCCCATCTCCCAATGTGATAAATATCAGATGCTTCAGAGAAAAATGCAATTAATCCAAAATGAACAGTTCTGAAATAGTTTGGTTTAACAGAAGTTTTATATACGCTACTAAACTTAGTTGTGGTTTGTTGTAATGATAAAAATATCTGTGAACAAAGTGCATCATGCATCAGTGTTACTGTCTTAAATCATTTATTTCAAACAAAAGATACTATAGTCACCATGGAAAACCCAAAGTAATGCACATCAAGAGCACAGTTGCTGATCAGGAAAGAATCTAATGCAAACATCATGGATACTTACACCAGGGGACTGGTCTTTGGAAAACATTCCCCAGGTGTTCCAGTTCATATCACGCCGAAATGTAGTATGTTCAGTTTCACCAAATCCATAGATATACTGTGATGGAAGGCGGGTAGAAATCTGAATGAACATGTCACTAAAGGTGAAGCCAGGTACCTGAGAATCCCAACTGAAATAGAAAAATTATCCCACTTTCATCAGTAAAGAGATGAAATACATACAAAATGTTGGCTGAGACTTTTGAAAGTTAGAGAGAATATGTAGTATGTTAGCCATATAGTTGCTAGTATAAATGAAGAAGAGGATGACTGTCTAATCAGGTAGCAGATTATCTGTGCCATAGCATACGGATATTAGGTATTATTCAGTACATACTAGAATTTAGTTAAAATGAAAACTGAATACATATTACAAAGTTTCTTAGAACAGAAAGAAATGTTAATTAATCTATATATTAATTTAAATTTTAGTGAGAATTTTAAATCCAGTATATTGTATGCTTAGCAATGATGGGGAAGGAAAAGAGATATTAAAGAGTCTGGCATGTCAAGGCTGAAAGCAGTTCTGTTGGCTTAGATAAATACCTGGACTTTCAACCTAAAATCAAATTGTTAGACTTTTGGGTCTCTTCGGTAATTTGGGCTGCTACTCAAGAGAAAACTAGAACCTTTCATAGATTCACAAGAGTCCAAAGCCAGAAAAATATTGTAAAATAATCTAGTCTGAGCTCCTGTATAACACAGGGGAATTCTGTACACCTCTGCATCTCAGGTAAGGAGTGAATATTGATATTCACTTGATGAACACCCTTGGTGCAGTAGCCAAGCCAATAAGAGCATCTCTTTTTGATGATATCTCTCTTCCTAGACTACTAAATGATGAGGGAAGAGAGTGTTTAGGTTCAACAGTGTTTTAGTCCAACTCTTCTCCAAAGAGAAAAGATCCTATGAATTTAGAGGAGTACCTGACTTGTTTGGAATGATCATCTATCTTCCAGAGATGAAGCCATGTGTGTCTTCTGGCAACTTAGCTGAATGTCATGGCCCTGGCAGAAAACCTCATAGCAGCCATTAAAACATCTGCTATTAATGCTATTCCTAAGGAGAATTTTTAAACTATGGACTCAGTAACAGGTTGGCTGTGAATGCACTTCAAGTTCTTCCAGCAATGACACTATAGCTTGAAAAACACATGCATGCCATCACAGATGTTTTAAGGGGGCTGAAGAAGCATCAAATCGTTACTAAATGTGGCCTCCACCTTGATATCTATTGGATCCTTGGGAAAAACATTTTAAGGGGGCTGAAGAAGCATCAAATCGTTACTAAATATGGCCTCCACCTTGATATCTTGGATCCTTGGGAAAAACGTCCCACTTGGATGGAATAATCCAAGATTAAGTCTGGCATTCTGAGACATGTATATGCAAGAGGCCATTGTCATCCTTGGTTGGACTGAAGAGTTTTGGACAGAGAAACAAAGGAGTGTCATCTGTCCATTGGAATATAAGCTAGTGTGACTGTGATGCATATCTCTGCCTGATATTATTCTTTGCATTGGCCATAGCATTGATTCGTCTACATGTAATTGATGTCTGAAGACAAGGATACCATTTTGGATATGGGATTTTTAATTTCCCTGAATGAGCCAGTCAGCCAGATAAGGAAATATCTCAAGGGATAAATGGTGAAGATGCGCTGTCACTATTGCCATGCAATGGTCAGCACCCTTAAGGGATGTGTTACTCTGATAGGCAGCACTATGTACAGCCGGTCCCTGAGTTATGAATGTATTACAGACCAAACGCTTGGCCGTAACTTGGAACGGTTGTAACTCAGAATCCATTGAGTTACATTGCGACTGCGCTGTTCGTAAGCGCGGATCGCATTCGTAACTTGGAGCCCGCATTTAAGACCGCTTTGGTCGTAAGTTCGGATGGTCGTAAGTCGAGGTGGCTGTAAGTTGGGGACTGGCTAGTAATGCATATTGCCTAACAATGAATCAAAGACTATTCTATGGCTAGGATGTACTGACACATGAAAGTATGTATCCTGCAGTCTGAAGGGAGTGTATTAATCCGCCATTTTCATGGAAGGGATAACAAGTGCTAGAGTAACCATTGTGTGTTTCATTTTCTTGGTTAATCTGTTCAACTTGGAGCTAGGTATCTACAGTTCTCACCCAAATGGGGCTTTGGAGCTCTTTCTGCTCACTCATGATCAGGGTCAGGCTCTTTAGAGCACGTTGCCTTTTTCAAAAAAACACTTGTAAAACTTTTCCAACTGTGCTATTTTTTACATTTCCAATTCCAATGTACAAATATCCTAAAATAATATATAGATTTTGCTGAAACAGTATCAATTTCATTAATTTAACATCAAGTACTTTTCACTAGTGACACAATGGCAGTTTAACAAAATGCAGCCTATTCAAAGCTAAGCCAGTATTTAGGGATTTCCACCAAACCTACAGGTTAAAATTAAAATGGCATCCACAGCCAACAAAGTTTTTACTTACATAACTGTTCCAGTGCTTCTACGCTGAATCTGAATACCAAATGGATTGTTCTTAATTGTCACTTCATAGAGTCGACCTGTTTCTGTACTTGTGGAAGGATTGGGGACAAATAGTGGTACTGGAACTTCATATCTTTTATTGTTGGCATCATAAATCTATGAAAAGAAAGGCAATACTCTTGAAGTGCAATACATAAGACCTTTTTCTATGTGACTACAGTTTTTATAAAATGTTCTCCTTCGTCAAAAAGTGATAAAAATATCATTTGTGTGTGAAGTCATTTTCAAGGATGTAAGTAAAATTTATAGGGGACATATCAACGTACGTTATAGTTATGGTCCCTGTACACTATTACAAATTTGACCTACATTCTGTGGCTAATATTTTCCTGGATTTTGCAGTAACATGAGGCTGCTTAATTTCAGGTCCATCAATGGGGGGAAGGGAGGGATATAGAGGGCAATTGCCTCAGGGCCTGGTGATTCTAAAGGGCTCAGGACTCCCAGCTGCTGCTGTAACAGTAACCTTTAGAATCACTGCCGGAGTGCTGCATGGTGCTATAGAGCCCTGAGTGGGGTACAGAAGGGAGTTTGGGTGACAGAGGCAGTTGTGATCTAGAGCGGGGGGACTGAGGTGCAGGGGTTTGGTTTGTGACCTAGGGTAGGAGGTGACTGTGATCTGGGGCAGGGGGTTGGGGTGCAGGAGAGGGGATGAGGTTTTAGGTATGTTGAGTGGGGGGAAGCAGAGGGTTGGAAAAGGGAGAGGTCCCAGAGGCAGGCTCTGGCCAGGAGACTTACCAGCCAGTAGCCCAACCAATATGCCTGCCTGCTGAGCTTAAACATTTTTCAACCAGCCTGCCTTCCCAGGCTGCAGAGCCATGTGCTTGTGTGAATAACTGAGCCAGAGGGGAGGAGGGTGTGGTGGGGCATGGTGCTTTGTGTGCTGTCCATTATTCAAACAGGTAGCTCTCATTGGCCAGTTTGTTCAGACAGACAGCTCCCATTGGCCAGTTTCTGGCCAGAAACAGGCCAATTGGATTGTGCTGAGGGCGGAAAGTGCCTGAAGCCTTCCCCCCTCCCCTCCGGACTCACAGATTTTAAAGAGAAACTGCCCAGCAGCTGTGTTTCTGAGCAGCCTGTGGGTGGGGCAAGGCAAGTGGGGAACCTGCCTGGAGCTTCCTGCAATGTCCGTGGGCCAGATCTGGTGGCTTGGACCATATTTTGCCCAGGCCTGGTCTAACGCCATGTTTTGTATTAAAGGTGAAAACCATGGTTGTGACTTAAAGACTTGAGATGACAAGCATCTAGAGATACGTATTTGCAAATATGTTATACTAGAAAATGTAACCCTGTGTTGCTTGGGTCCTTCAAGGCAGGGAGCAGGTGGTGGTGGTGCATGCGCAGGAGTCAGGACAGGGCTTTGGGGTTATTGGGAGAGCAGGACAGGAGGCTTGGGGAATGGAGGATGTGAGAGATAGAGGTTGGGGGCGTGAGGAGGACCTGAGGGTGGAGGTCCCATCCAGCGGGGCTTTCTCTCCCTCCTCCCCGGCCAGCAGGGACCTTCTGTCTCTCCCAAGTCCTTCCTGGCTGCCAGGGGCCTTTTGTCTCCCCACAGCCCCCCAGTCATCTCAGGCAAGGGGAGATACTTACCTGGTCTGGTGGCAGGCAGGATGTGGTTGCCCCTAGTGGCCTCTCTGCAGTATCATGTCCCTTCTCCCTGTGCCCCTCCCTTCCCATGTTATGAAAAACAATCCCATTCCCAGCACTTCCCATTTTCTTGGCACAATCAAACCCTGACCTTGCTTTAGGATAACAGGAAGCAGCATATGAAATTTGGTGGTCCTAGCACTTACCATTTAAGAGAAAGTCTTGAACAAGCAGAAGCACAGACAGACAGATGCACATATTTCAGAGAGAGAGAGAGAGAGAGAGAGAGAGAGAGAGAGAGTATGTCTACACTAGCCCCCTAGTTCGAACTAGGGAGGCTAATGTAGGCATTTGAACTTGCAAATGAAGCCTGGGATTTAAATATCTCGGGCTTTATTTGCATCTTCCAGTCGGGTCGCCATTTTTAAATGCCACTAGTCCGGAGTAACTGCCCGCGGCTACATGCGGCAGTTAAACGGTAATTCGAACTAAGTCCTTAGTTCTAATTACCTGTTACACCTCATTCCAGGAGGAGTAACAGGTAATTTGAACTGAGGACTTAGTTCGAATTACCGTTTAACTGTCACGTGTAGCTGTGAGCAGTTAGTCCGGACTAGTGGCATTTAAAAATGGCGACTGGATGGGGACATTCCAATAAAGCCTGGGGCTGGTGTAGACATACCCATAGAGAGAGAGAGAGAGAGAGAGAGAGAAGCAAAGCTTCTACCGTAATAACTTCCTAATATCATTCCTACATATATGGTAAGATGGCATATGTATTAACATAGAGTTGGGTGATTAGTGTAGACATACCCATATTTATTAACATAGAGTTGGGTGACCTTGCTACAACTGGTTACTAATACAAGAAAATATATACAAGAAAACATTTGAGTATACCGTTTTTTACATTAATTGGGGCATTAATGAATGTGTGTTGTAGTGAAACTTGGCTTTCATTAAGACTAAATTCAGATCCTTTGATTATTGTATTCTTCACATTTAGCACAGGGATTTTCAGTACTTGCTTAATTCTGTTGAGCAGTAACTCGTCTTGAATAGTTTCACTGATTTCAACTGGATGATCTTAAGAGTGAGGCATTTCTCAACCTGAGTAAGAATCTGGCCCAATGAAAGGAGTCTTAGAATGAGATATTGCTCAGCCTGATTAAGGCAGCAGAATTAAGCTAGAAGAGTGTTCTATGAAGGAAGATGATGCTGCACAGGTGGTTGAACTCTAAAAAATAAGTGGCTAGAGACTCCTTACTCAAGCTCTTGTATACCATAAGAGGCACCCCCTCCAATGTTCCCTATACTCTTTTTCATCCATGTGCAGATTTTTTCCATCCATATAAAGGATAATTTTTAATGTGCATGGAGGCATATACAAATGTGTACCAACAGTAGAAACAAAAACTAGATGTGGGCATATACAAATGTGTACCACCAGTAGAAACAAAACTAGATGTGGACACTCTGCTAATTAGCTGAGCGGCATTTGAATCTCTCCTGAACAGCTGCACATGTGCACAGCTTATAGGAAACACTGGTCCCATTTGAATCTCTCCTGAACAGCTGCACAAGTGCACAGCTTATAGGAAACACTGGTCGCATCTGAATCCCTGTGTCTTTTATAAGGTAAACAAAGAGAAGACATCTCTATGGCACTTTATGAAGACGTTAGCTATAGAGGCTGATTTCTCTGAGCTCGAATTGGCTCCTTATCAATTATTGCCTCTACGCTTAGATAAAACCCTGCATATCACTGATGTTTGTTGAAATCTATGTAGCTCAGCTGACATACTAAACTGTCTGAAAAGGGTTTGCCAAGAACTGAGAAAAAGAAACGAGAATAAGCACTGTAGAACCTCACGCCACTTCTAAAATTCAGCATGTCAAGACATGGGACATGATGTGTTGTGATGTTACATATGGAAAAATCAAATGGCTCAGCAATCAGTATGGCAGAGTACTACAACAATATCAAATGGTACAAAGTTATCCACTTATTTGCACAGTGAGCCATCATTAGCAGTTTTGAGAAACGATGATCACTCTCCTTGGAATGATAACATAAAATGAAATAGCCTCTAGAACATTAGATCTCAGCTAGAGTAAGCATACCCCTGGAGCACACAGAGGTTTTCCACACAGGTCATCAACTCAGCTAAGTATTTGACTAATTTTACAACAGTCTACATAAAAAGTACTAACCAAGTCAGTACAAACTCAAATTTCATACCGACAATTACATGTTTATACTGCTCTGTATACTACTCACTGAAATTTAAGTGCAATATTTTATTCCAATTGATGGATCACTTCTTACCCTCCTCAGTAGCCATATTCAGTCTATTCACATTTTAATTCTGTAAAAGTGGAAAATTATCACCATCACCAATCTCAGCATAGACTGTGCCAGCAGATTCACACTGAAATTACCTTGAACTGCAACATGTAGTTGTCATGGTATTTCACTTCTAAGCGAAGTGTGTTGATAGAGGGAGAACGGTCCCCATAGCGGTCAGGGATACTTGGATCTCTGGAGAGGTCAGCTGTAAGACCCAAAGCCGTATTTTGAAGGTTGCTGACAGAATAGCCATAATTACTTGGGTAGTAACACGATGGCACAAGTGAGTTAGAGACAACCTGAAAAATATATTGTAGATTAGAAAACAGTATGTGAGATCATTTTAATATTAATAAAAGCTATCCTCCCCATTTTTAACAAGCAACTCATATGAACAACTAGTTGCAAATGTTATTGTAACAGCGCTGAACAGTATGAAAATGAACCCTAATGAAGAAAAAAGTGATTTATGCAACTGACATCAAAAGAAAACTTTTCGCCAATTCAATGATGTTCTCAGAGGATGACATCCCAATGCAATTAGATAGGTACATAGCAATGAGTTGCCAATTTCAATGCAGAGAATTTAAGTTTAGAAATATGAAGAAAAGAAATTATTTTTGATTCATCATCACTTGTTTACATTTAAAAACATCAGCACTTGATAATTTGTCTTTCCTTTGTTAAAATGTGTTTAAATAGAAGCAGCTCTCTTTTGTTTATAAAATTGTATTAGCAGTAGCAAGCAAAACTGCACTTAATGCAGGTGCTTAGCAGATGCTATTCTAAATCTTCCTGTTAAATTGTTTGCATCTTTCTGATATTTTCATTTTCAAAGTGAATTTTTTTCATGCTTTGAGTATGCATCCAGAGTATTTCCCCCCTGTAAGTTTGAGCATAAGCAACTCCATCCTTTATACATACTTGGACAAGGAATAATACTTCATTTCTCACCACTAAAAAGAAAAATTACAACAACGACAAAACCTTGCAACTTCCTCTCAGCAGCTGTACAAACAGTGTGTGAGAGGTAAAATCTAGCACGCCTCAATTAGCCCCCATTGACAAGAAGTGCCTTTTGTAGTTCAGGAGGAAATGACTGAGAATTCACCTAATTACTTCCTAATTTCATTGATTGAGCATACTAAGAAGATCTTTTCACTGAAGACTCAATCTTACTTCTATTATAATCAAGAGAAATCTTTGCCTGGCACACACATTACCATTGTCTTCCTTACTGTAGGCAAGCTTGTAAACAAACAGCTAAAGACAAAGATGAAAAAGAGGAAAAATAATAGGGATGAAGTGACACTTGAGAAAGTACTAAGGGTAGAAACCTTAATGTAAGGGGACAGTTAGTCCCTTACTAAAACTCAGTGGGAGTTTTTGGTAGGCCAGCTCCCAGTACCAAATGGGGAAGGATCAATGAGAAATCAGGACCCTGAGACTGACAGACCCCAGGGACAATGGGAGGAGGCCAACACTCCAGCTCAGCCTGATTGACAGGTTGGACAGATCAATGAGAGATCTGTGTGAGCTGGGATTTTCTGGGTCTCTGAGAGAAAAGGGAAGAGAGCTGAGAAGAGCAGCATGAAAAGCAAGCTGTGTGGAGAAACAGACCTGCTGTGTCAGAGCCAGGGACACACAGCCCAAGGAGTGCAAGCTCCGCTGAGGGGCAGACCTGCAGTGACGGAGCCACACACACACGGCCCAAGGAGCGCAGACCCTGATCTGAGCTGCAGACCTGCAGTGACCAGAGAGCTAAAGGGGTCAGAGAAGCAACACAAGGAGCTGGAGTCTGGCAAAGCAGCACAGTCTGCAACTGGGTGTGGTGAGCAGCTGGGACCAGCAAAGGGGCAGAACCACCCCCCCAGCCAAGAGGCCCTACAGGCCAGACTTGGAGAGGGATTGTAACTCCAACTGGGAGAGGGGTCCTACCACCTAGAGCCTGAGGACGTGTGGTCACTGCAAGAGCCAGGGTATCCAACCTGCAACCCCCTGCAGCACAGCCAGGGCCTGAGAGAGCCCTGGGACCTATAAGGAACAGACTGTGAATTGTCCTTACACTCTGCAGACTACTGTTTGTGATGTCCCCATGCTACAGAGCAGGACTATGTGTTCTTATTTAACCTTTCTTGTTTCTCCTTATTCTTTTCTTTTTAATCAGTTGTTGTTTAATTAATTGTATTTGCTTTGAACTGTATGAAATGATGGGGGGGGGGGGCCCACCCCCTGGCCACAGCCGGAGTCCAACAGGCCGTGCCCCCGGCAGGCACTCCCTCTAGTTGCTGGTAGAAGCCGGGCGGGGGCAAGGGGAGTGGCTGAGAGCCACGCCCCCTTCCCAGCTTCTGCATGCAACCAGAGGCTCCCAGCTGGGAGGCGGGGCCACGATTGGTGCTGGGAGCCTCTGGTTGTGTGCAGAAGCAGGGCGGGGGGAGTGTCTGGGACTCCTGGCCCCCGCCCCGCCCGGCTTTTGCATGTGACCACAGGCTCCTAGTGCCAATTGTGGCCCTGCCTCCCAGTCACTCCCCCACCCCTGCCAGGCTTCCGTCCAGCGCCCAGCCGGGTATTCAGAAAATACCAGACATTCCACGTGTCTGGTATTCTCCTGCCTCAAGTGACTACAAGGTCAGGGATTAAGCCTCAGAAAACCTGGGCCCAGCCATGTTGGGATTTTGAGGAATCTGCTACTCAGGAGAATGGAAGGGGAGCCCTCAGGGTCAGGGAGGCCTTTGGGTAAAAGAAGTGGGAGCTGGGACTCAGATTCTTTCGCTGGTCCATTTCACCGAGGTAGTATAGCAGCCAGGAAAATTCCCCACAATAGCAGTACCATTCTCCACGCTTACATTAAGTTCACATTTTAGGAGGTGCTCAAGACACAGCTCTGGGGGATGCTGATGTCATTCTATTTTCTCTTTTTGTCTGGTCTTTCCAGAACATCAGGCAAAAGAGAGACAAATAGCAAAATGTCAAATGCCTCAGTCCCAGTAGTGGTAGTGATAGTTATAGCAATAAGGATGATTAATTCTGCCTGCTATGCAAAAGCTGCCAAGTGACCCCCAGAACAGCAGTGTCTAAAATAGCTGGCAACCATCCCATTGAAGGGCATCAATCTTTATTCATATAGTTATACTTATTTTCATTTCTTAAACATTTTGTTGCATTGCTAAAACAATTTGCAAAAGTACATAAAATACCTTAAACTGCTAGTCAATAATTCCTTTAGTTTAGATAAATTAAGTGTCATTAAAGTTGTGTTCTCATTCATGCTTCACACAAATCTCCTTACCTGCCAGATACAGCCACGAGCTGTACAATTTTCTGGTGATGCACCTGACTCAGGATAACAGTTAAATTTTTCATTGTCTTCAGACATTGACCATTCCACTGAGTAGGGTTTCCCCAGTTCAAGTTGAAGCCTAGTAATATGCAGGAGCTTTGAAAGAAAACAAAAAACAAGAAATCTACCTGAGGGCATTGCAGCTTTCAGTTCATACACTGCTTATTAGGTAGCAATTTCTTTTTGTCTTCCTCCCCTAACTAAAATTTGAAACTGTCTGAGACTTATTTTAATATGGCACAGATTGTGAATTCCAATCTGTGAGCTTTGCAAAGTCTTTGTAAAATTTCTTTTTAAAAATCTGAAGTCCATTCTGATTTCACCTGTATACAGGCAGTCCCCGAGTTACGCGGATCCGACTTATGTCGGATCCGCAGTTACGAACGGGGTTCCTCTCCCTGGTCTCCAGCAGACCAGGGAGAGGAAGCAAAGCGGCGGAACACATGGGCAGCGGACAGGGCTGTCCGCTGCCCACGCGCTCCGAGGCTTTGCTCTGCTTTTTCCCCCCCTCCCCCCCCGG